GGCCTGGAGTGGGCCCGACCCGCATTGCTCACCTTGTGGTGCTGGCCATGCATGACGAAGTGCAGCATGATGAGGTAATGGCTGTCGCTGGGGGGCTTCATATGGAACAGGAAGCGGTGGATGAGGTACTCGATGAGGGTCCAGATAAGCATGCCCAGCACAAAGAGGCCTGGGAACATGGACTCTGGCACTGCCACGGAATAATCTGCAGTGGAGCCAGAGAGGTGGTCAGGGTTGACGGGTGCTGGGCAGGCCTGTGCCTGGTGGCTCTAAAGCTCTTGCCTTGTCACCCAGGCTGACTTGGACCTTTTTTGCCCTCTGCCTAGTAGCTATGGGCAGGCCACACTGAGGAGCCCTGAGGTAAAGTCGGGGAGGGGACTGGGCAGATGTGCAGTGGGCCTGGGAAGGGTTCTTTTCCAGAGTGATGGGGTTACCAGTCAGAGAACCAATGGGGAGCGGCAGGTGGCACAGCTCCGGCTGAGGCTGGGTCTCTAGCAAGAAGGGTGACTCAGTGGCATGGGGGGAGGAGAGGAGACCACTGGGAAAGAGCTGTCATGCTGGGGCAGTGGTGGTACATGCCTTTCATTCCAGCACTCATGAGGCAGAGGCCTGAGGATCTCTGTGAGCTCAAGGCCAGCCTGGTCTACAAAAGGAGTCCAGGACAGCCAAAGCTACACAGAGAAACCCTGTCTTGAAAAACAGACAAAGGAAAAACAAAACAAAACAGAACAAACGAGCCATCAGAGCCAGCAGTCAGTGATGGAGGAAGTGAATGGCTGGGGACCATGCGTGAGGGAGTGGGTGGGCAGGACAGGCGTGCAGATCTCAGTAAAGCTGTGTCAATAGACCTGAAATCACAGTGTCTGAGGAAAACCACCAGCCTCGTGGATGGGGTGGGGGCTGCACAGGCTGTACAAGCATCTTCAAGGTGGAAGTCCTCGAGATCCAGCCCTCCGATGGCTCCCTGCAGCTCTTCCCGCGCTGTCTTAGATCTCTAGGAGACTTCGGCTCTAGCCCCTTCTGCTCTGTCTAGTTTCCTCCGCTTCTGTCTCACCTCTGTGGCTTTACGCTTTGTGATGGCTGATTTTCACTGTCGACTTGACTGGATTTATCATCTCCCTGGAGACACACCTCTGTGTGTTTCTGTGAGGGTGTTTCCAGCAGCGTTTAAACTGAGCAGGGAACTGCTGTCCTGAGTGTGGGCCCACGGCTTCTCCTGGACTGGGATAAAGTGGAAGGAGCTGCACTCCCCTCCCACTGCTCCCTGACTGTGGGCATGAAGTGACCGGCTGTTTCCAGCCCCTGCCTCCAAGACTTCCTAGCTTTGGTGGACCAGCCTCAAACCAAGAGCCAAACCAATCCCTTCCTCCAAGTTGCTTTTGTCAGGCAATTTGTCACAGCTTTCTCTCTCTCTTTCTCTCTGGTTTTTCAAGACAGGGTTTCTCTGTAGCCTTGGCTGCCCTGGACTTGCTTTGTAGACCAGGCTGGCCTCGAATTCACAGAGAACCACCTACCTGCCTCTGCCTCCTGAGTGCTGGGATTAAAGCTTTACACCACCACCACTATTTGAGTTTTGTTTGTTTGCTGGTTTATTTTTGAGACGGCCTCCCCATAAGCTTATGGCTCATCGAGAAGAGCTGTTTTTCTTGGCAGACCGTGCAGCACTAAAATTACAGTTATGCACTACCATGCCAAACCTGTAATTTAAGCCTGTTTGTCTACCTATCCATTTATCTCGGTTCACTATTTTCTTTCCAGATGTTTATTTTTAAGAGTGTGTATGCGCGTGTAGATGCATCTGCTCTCCCGGAGCTGGAATGACAGAAAGGTCATGGGCTGCCTGCATGGTCGCCGGCAGCGGAAGTCCTCTGCAAGAGCAGTAGACACTTGCCAACCCTAGTGCCCATATGCAACCCCACCTCACTCTTCTCGTACTACCTCGCCACCTGCGGCTCCCAGGGCAGCATCAGACTTCCACTCCTGTGTCTATACCTGGTAAAATCATTCCCTGATTCCTCATGGCCTTTAGACAAAGAATAGTCCCCGTGTCCCTCGAGTCTTGACCTTTCAGACATGCCACCGGCACCGGGGCCAAATCAAGCTAGTGGTTCCTTAGATGCGGCGTGTCATTTTCTCCTGCATGTACAGGTTTTCTGATGCTCTCTTCCCTGGAGTCCCCTGCCTTTCCCATTCCACAACGGCCTGTGCAGATGTCTTAACCCACTTCTGGCTGGTTTGTGTGTCTTACTCTGGCCTCTGGTACCACCCTCAAGCATTAGGTACGGTAGTGTCATTTGGTACTTTGCTCCCAACTTGGAGATTTTTTTTTTTTTTTAAATGAGTAAGGTTTTCTCCACGTGTCCAGTGCTTGGCACAGCAGGCTCACAGAGACTCAGCAGGTGAGAAAACAGGCTGGAGGAGAGCCCTGCAGGTTTGGGCCTGGATGAAATTTGAACTGTGTCACCCTTTGAGCAGACCAGGCTCGGGGGGGGGGGGCAGCTTTGAGCGGTACCTCTGAAGGACCCAGGACATCTGTATACTGTAGGCAGCCCTAGGACCAATGGCCACGAGGGCTGCTGGGGAAGGGAGAGAGCCGGGGCAGAGGGGAAGCACGAGTGGCCACTAGCTTTTTGCTCAGAGTCGGGCCATACTTCATTTTGACAAATGGTTCTAGGTGAATTTCTAGGTGCTTGGGAACTACCTGGGAACGAACATGAGATGCGGCAACAATTTGGCCCCACGGGCTCCATTTCTCTCTGAAAGCTGGTATCTCCCCTGAGCATTTGTTTCAGGGCATCATTTGTCCAGCAGCTGCAATGGGACCCCACCGAGTGTCCCTCTGCCTTGCCTTGTGAGTTCCTATTTGCTCTGCCTGTGACTTGCGCCTTGCATGGCAGTCTGCAGGATGAGGAACGCATGAGGCAATGTGTCTCTCGTGCCGCTGTTGCTGGCACGGTGGCCACAGGCTTGCTGCCCTGCCACACTGGACCTTTATTACACAGGCACATTTTAGCCGTCTGCAGAGGCCTGTGTTGCTGTGGAGCCCTCAAATCACTGTCCCCGGCCAAGCATTCAGCCCTTTCCTATAGGTCAAGCCTCCACCCGCCTCCTCACCCCAGCATCACCCTGTCTGCCCATCCGGCCGGAGCTGGTACTGAGTGGCATCTCTGGAGGAATCCAGCAGAGGGACCTGGGCCAAAGCTTTAGTGCCCCCTTCCCCCTCTGGCCACCGGCCCTGGCGGCCCTGCCACTGTTGGTAATTGTTAGGGGAGTGCCGGGCAGACAGTGGGCGATTCAGCGAGCAGGCCCCTGGGCAACAAGCCCTGTGCTGTGTGCCTCAGCTATTCAGCGTGGGCCGAAAAGGCTAAGCGCGGCTAGTGGGATGTGCACGGTAACCACCGGGGCTCTGGGCTGAGTCGTGGGGGCGCTTTCCACAGCTTGCTGCCCACCGCCCTATCTTGGGTGAGGCAGATAAACTGAGGGTCCCAATGCTATGAGAGGACCTTGACTTGCTGCCCTCGGGGGGTGTGGGAAGAAGAGAAGCCTCTGTGTGAGGAAGGAAACTGCCTGGAGCCTGTTGGGAACAAACTGTGATCAGGCAAGGGGACGCACCACTGCAGGCGACACCCTAGGGTGCCCAGCAGACTCGCTGGGCAGGAGGCACACGATGTGACCGGAGGCGGAGGCAAGCACGAAGTCTGTGAGCCAAGATGGCAGAGCGGCCACTCTGAGGAACTCAGTTCTATGTGTTCTTTGGGTAACAGCCCATGTCAAACTCTCCCTGTCTCCTGGCCCCTAACTAGAAGCTGGGAGTCGGGGTGGGGCAGTTGCTCTCACATCCCAGGCCATAACGACCCTGAATCACTCATTTAACTTTTTCAGGCTCTATTATGTGTCTGTGTACGTGTGCACGTGTGTGCGTGTGCGCGTGAATGCGCACGTGTCTGCAGGTGTGTGTGTGCATGCAGAGACCAGAGGACAGTCTTGGGTGTCGTTCCTCCTCAGGAGCCACCGCCTTGTTTTGTGAGGCGGGCTCTCTCACTGGCCAGTGAATCCAGGAACCCATCTGTCCCTGTCTCCTGAGCTCCAGGAGGACAAGTGCCCACCACTAAGCCTGGCTGTGTGTAGATGCTGGGATCAAACTCAGCTTCTCATGCTCAAATCAACTTACCAACTGAGGAATCTCCAGTCCCTCCCTCAACTCTATTTTTAGAAGCCCTGGGAGATAGCATTGCATGCACGTAACCATGTACTGTGTGACGTTTTGACACGTGTATGCCTTCTGGACTGACTATGTTTCCTCAGCCCTGAGAGGGCGCAGCAATACGCCTTTCCCACGGGGCTGCTGGGAGGAGTCTCGGGAAAGTACATGGTCTGGCACACACTACATGCCAATCACACTAAGTAGAGGGGATCAGCTGTCACCGCCAGGCTCAGCTTCTGTCTGCTGTGCGGCCCTTAGCTTTGAAGTCTGTGGTGCAGGCATATCTTTCTCCCAAGTTCTCCTCCAATCTGTGACGGGAGCATGGACTCATCTGCCTTCAGCTGTGCTACCTGATACTGTCTGTCTGTCTGTCTATCTATTTATCTATCTACCTACCTACCTATCATCTATCTTCTATCTATCTATCTATCTATCTATCTATCTATCTATCTATCTATCTATCTATGATATAGCTCTGACTAGCCTTGGATATGCTGTGGTGGATGAGGCTGGCCTCTGGCTTACAGTAGGTAACCCCCTTGCTTTGTTCTTGAAGTGCTAGGATTACAGGTGTGTACCCTCATGCCTGGCCTTTATCTGGTCTCTTAGTGAAGAACTCTAGACTGCATGTTCTATGTGGCTTGAATCGAGACAGAGCCTCACTCTGCAGCCCTGGCTGCCCTGGGAGCGCTAATGTGGATAAGAACGACCCCAACTTGTAATGATCTTTCCATCTCCACCTCCTAAGGCTGAGATTATGGGGGGGGTGCTTCACCTATTCTTTGTTCTTAATCTCAGTAAGAAGCTCTCTTCCTCTGTCTTTTTATTGCTGCAACACTTGATGATATGACTTCGTTTAGCTTCTGCTCACGTGTTGCTTGTTTTTATATCCATGGGTTAGGGGTTTTTTATTTTTCCTACACTAAGTTCCATTTTGAAGTGTTTGTGATGTGGTTTTTCTATGCCCATGGAAACTCGAGACCATGAAGAACACAGTTCCCTACCTTCAAGACCCATGGGAACAAGTCAGGAAGAAGCCAGTGGTTACCTGTTGTGAATGATGAGAAGAGCCGGATGTTGTCCTGGCTGAGGGTTCGGTAGTAGGACCAGCTGAGGTACAGCACCAGGGGCACCCAGATGATGGGGACACTATACCTGCAGGAGAGCCGTCAAGGTGAGAGAGGTGTACACAAGGATGGAGGGGGAGACAACACAGTCCAGCTTCCCTGAGGCATACATTTAACTACAGAGGGGGCAGGCCATGTTAAAGCACATGTGGAGAGCCACAGTCAGAAGGCACAATGCCGTGCGGGGCAGGGGGAAAGAAGAGGGAAGCTGTGAGTCCAAATGCCCCTGTCTCGAGATGAGTCTTAAGCAAAAAAGAATTACGGGGTACCATGGCTAGTGGCTCTGGGCAGCTATCTAGACACTGACCTCTTGTGGCAGGAGGACTAATTGCAGGAAAATGGTTTCCATGGGCATTAAAGTCTTCTAACCCTACGTAGGAGTCAGGAAAAGAGCAGGCGCAGGCACATGGTAGGATGTTTCCCAGACAGCAGTTAAAACTCTGTGCAGGGGTTGCTTATGGCCACAGTCTGTTCCACCCTCCCTGATAACCTACTTCAGAACACCCCTTATTTTAAGGAGGGACCCAAATGTTTCCTGCTTCTGTGTGTTGCTGATATTAACAGAAGAGAGGGGTAGCCCATCTTGACCCCGAATAGGCCTCACCAGACAGTCTTGGAGAGAGACTCGATGAGGTCTGAGTGGAAGAGGCGAATGGGCCTGGCCACCGGTTGGTGAACCCACTCATCATACTTGTCTCCCAAGTGGCCCACCTGCCACAGGAGGGGCTGCTGCCAGTCCACCAGGTCCTGCAAGAGAAAAGTCGGGCCCTTGAGATTCACACCTCTGGAATTCATTCCCACATCTCTTGGTTATAGCATCCTGTCCTCTAGCACCATCTCGGCTTGTGGGTCGGTGTGGTGCTACCCACACAGTGGTTTGGGGGAGGGAAATCTAGATCTAGGCACACAGCCCCATCTCGCCCAGGATGTGGAATCCCGATCAGGCCCGTGACCTAAGCTTGCTTGAGCAGAAAGCCCTCAGATACCTGTTCCTCCCACTGGAGTTGCTGTCAGAGCCCAACCAATGACTCAGACAGCATCAAGTCTGGCCAAACCAGGAGCGAGATAGATTGAAACCCAATGATGATATATGTCTAAGAGCCCATGCTGGACTACACACACACACACACACACACACACACACACACACACACACAATGTATTCTGCACCACTGGGGGCCACAACATAAATGAAGAAGGCCCTTTTTTTTTTTCCACTGCAGATTTTCTTCTTGATGTTGGCCTGGAAAAAATGACTCATGTATTCACTCAATCATTTGCTAAACATTTGACTTTTGTGAGTGTGCACATGGGTGTGCTAGGTTCTAGAAAGAACCAACAGGTATGTAGGAGATCACCCTTGTTTCACACAGCTTGGTGCTTAGCACAGGGACTCTGGGGTCAGTCCTGGGTTCAGATTCTGGCTCCACCACTCACTGTGTGACTTCGGGAAAACCACACGAACGTTCTGAAACCCAGTTCCCTCAGCTATAAAGCAGAATAACAATGACAGCGGAAGCTATTTAGCAGGACAAAGCCTACCATGCAAGAGCGTTTAGTGCTGATCCAAGGATGCCACAATTCTGAGGCAATAGGACTGGCACCAATGCCCAGATTTAGGGTAAGCGTGCAAGACTTTGAATATGACCTGGGGTTTGCTCATCAACACAGAAGATTTTGCTGGGGCAGGGGCGGGGAGGGCATGGGTACAGATGTGGAGCTGAGAACAACTGTGGTCCATGTTACAGAGAAGTTCCCCGACACTGCTCTGTGGATTGCAGAAAGAAATCTGCTGAGGGCTTAGTAGGACAAATCTTTAATTGTGAAAAATAAATAGGGTTCAGGACTTGGTGTTTCATCTACCTGACCAGCTGTTACCCAGACACACATTGTACAAACCTCAGCAGCACTCACAGGCTCACCCCCAGAGAAAACATCAGAGATACTGTTTATTTTAATGCCTCTTTCTTTATCTCTCTCTCTCTCTCTCTGTGAGAAAGAGGAATCATGGAGGTCAGAAAAAGGCACTGGCTCCCCCAAACTGGTGATACAGGTGGCTCTGAACTGTCCATTGTAAGTGCAGGGAATCAAACATGAGTCCTGAGCTATCTCTTCAACCCCCAGAAACCCTATTTGTATTTGCAACACACACACACACACACATTACACAGATTTAAGTTGTATCTGAATATGTTCTGACTCACAGAGTGCAAGAGTACAATATGTAAATTATACACAGGTTAATATGGACATATAGCGAAAAATGTATCCAAAGTTTTAGTCACAGGAATACAGAGCCAAAGAGTTCGTGAGAGGCTTTACCTGTAGGCTACAAGGAGTACGTGAAGATGTCTGATGACTTAGTGCACTGAATAAGATTAATCTGGATTCCATACAGTCAAGATAATGAACTTAAAGTCAGGGGACCATAGGATCCTGGCCTTGCAGCTCGTCTGCTGTGAGAGCCTGAGCAAGCACCTGCACCTCCCAGAGCTGTTCAGTTTCTTGTATGTAAAGCTAGTAGCCCAGTAGCCCGTGATCTGAGCGGGCATCTCCAGTACAAGAGAGCAGTCTGCAACCAAGGGAGGTGGCCGCTGCGGGGGGAAGGGAGGCAGTGCCAGCGAGGGAAGGAGAACAAGCCTGGGAGAAAGACATGCAGTGGTGCTGGGAACCGGCCTGCTCGTCCTTCACTGGCCTCCTTGCTGAAGCGGGCTCAGCCCCAGCAGGTCTCCCAGGAACTACTGTTGTCATCTTCTGGAACAGGCAGGTAAAGCCACCAGTCACTCTTGTGTTTGTGACCATGGAAAGGTCCAGACTGCACGTGGTTGCTGCTCCCTTCCCGACCGTCTCCTTAAGCTCATGCCTTGGTCCAGTGTACAGACAACCTCATGGCTTCCATGTCCCATCCCGGGTCTCTGAGTATGCACACATGCACACTTTATACCAGGAAAAAGAACGGGAGGAACTTTCTAGCAGACATGTTCACACCTTGTCTTGAAGTGGCCTGCAGAGCCTCACCTTAGAAGGGCCTGTCTGGGGAAGGTCATGTGGGAGAGAGCTTGAAGCTTTGCCTCACCCTCAGCACTCACTGAGCACATGCTATATGTATGTCAACTGAGACTGTAAGAAGTCTACATGGCTTAACGCGTTCACTCATTTCTCAACATTCCCGGCTGAACAGGTGCGACAATCACATCTGTCATTTGCAGATGTGGTGCTGATCCATTAAGGCTGCCCTGTTAGATCTTCTTGTTCAACTGCCCATTCAATATGGGGGACCGTGAGCTGAGCCCTGTGGTATTCCTTGCTTTCAGGTTCTTAGGTGCTAACAATTATGGAGAAAGCCCTTTGCCCTCTGAGTCATCTCATGTTCCAAGTTTATGTTCATGCTGTCTTGCTGTTTTATATCTCCTCTGTCCTTTCTTTCTTGTCTTCTTGTGTCTTATTTTTAAGAAATTTTAAACACTTTATCTCTTTATGTTGTATGCATGTCTATGTGTGTGAGTGGTGCGTCCTACACTGGATGTGTGGAGGTCAGCAGACAGCTTCTGAGGTTCGGCTCCCTCCTTCCGCCGTGTGGATTCCCAGGGATTGAATTTGGATTGCCAGGTTAGATTGTTGGCAGGGGCCTTTACCTGATAAGCCGTCTTACCCTTCCTGTGTTGACTGTCTTAGAACACTCACACCTCCGTTGGCTTTTAGTGGTGGCTCTGGGTTTTTCCTTCTAGTTGTTGCTCTAAGGGCAAGACCTTAATCTTTTATTTCATGACTATTTGTCTCAGATGGGACCCCTGGACCTTCTGTGTTCCACATGACACCCATATGCCTAAGTTTCATTTGCACATTTAATTTTGCCTTAGATAGTTTATGAAAACACCCATTTAGGGTCAGTGAGACGGCTCAGTGACCCTAATTAAGGCACTCATGACCCGAGTTTAATTCCTGGCAGAAGGAGATAACTGACTCCCCCGAGTTGTCTCTTGACCTTCACACAAGTGCTGTGGCACACATATGTACCCCAATAAATACATGCAATTAAAAGAAAACCGCTTATAGTTATTACTCAGAGGTGTGGCCGGGGGGGGGGGGGGCTCTTCTCTCTACCTAGCAAAGGTTTGAGCAATCTTTTTGTCTTTTGAGAAAGTGTTTCTCTGTGTGGTGGCCTGCCCCTTGATGACCTGTTTCCCATTTGACCTGCACACATGATTTCAGCCACTGCCTAGGCAGACCAGCAGGCCCTGACCTTCTACACGTCAGGTTGGTGTCTACAGTCAGCGCCAAGGCTGCCTGTGATCTGCCACCCCCTTTTTTACCCCCCCACTGCTGAAGTACTTTTCCTGGGTACCCAGGGACGGTTACTTGACTCTCGGGGCTGCAGGCCCTGCCTCTGCCCCTGCGAACATCCCTCTCCTCATCAAGGGCCAACACCAATAATTTTACAATAGGGTCTTTGTCCTGCTGTTCCAGGAGCAGAGTGAGAGCTCCATACAGAACAGAGCGCAGGCCCGCTGGCGTTCTCCCTGTCTGGGGTGAGCACACTGAGGCCCAGTGGGCTAGTGCCAAGGGGGAATTGGCTGGTTGACTCCAGGGTGGGAATTAACCTCCTTATCTCCCCCCATAAGTTGTTTGTGTTGGTGTTTTGTTTTTTTTTTTAAATCACATTTCATTTATTCGTGTGCGTGCATGTGTGTGTACAGCCCTCGTGAGAGTGTGGCACAGTGCCCTAGCAGGAGTCAAAGACAGTCTCCAGGGGTTGGTTTTCTCCATACATCATATTGGTCCTGGAGATTGAACTTAGGTTGTTGGGTTTGGCAGCAAATGCCTTTATTGGCTGAGCCAGTTCACAGACTCCTGGTGGTGCGTTCTGAAACAGGGTCTTGTTATGCATGTAGCTCTGCACAACCTGGTTTTGCTATGTCGACTAGACTGCCCTCAAACTTGAGACGGTTTTCCTGCCTCTGCCTCTCACACAATGGAATTACAGGCATGTGCTACTGTACCTGGCTCCTTCCCCTTGTTTGTAGCACCCTCAAAACAGTTTCCCAAGAGCTAGGCCCTTTACCTGCTGCTAGGCCCTTCACCTGTTGCTAGAACCATCACCTGCTGCTAGGCCCTTTACCTGGTGCTAGGATCACCACCTGGCGCTAGGCCCTGTTTTAGTTGCTACGTGCATACTGTCTTTCCCCCAGCTTTCTTCTAGTCCTGCTTACTGAAGGACAGCATCTTCACTAGGTGAGAACAGGGAAGAGACAAGGCTGGCTGACTGCCTAGATGGGACCTGATGAGGTAGAAAGAAGCTCATTCATCTTTACCCGTACACACTTCCTTGGCTTCCTGCCCTCCCATGCAAGTGGCTTTCTTCCTCTGAGCTGGCTCCTGGTCTAGTCTGCCCATTCTGTGCTGCCTAAAGCTCAGAGAATAGGGGGAAGTCACTGTAAAGGTCTAAGATCACTGTAAGAGATTGATGGGGGAAGGGAAAGGAAAACGGGACACAGATCATGACCCCAGCTCCCAGGCATCTGGGGACGTCTTTGGCTGCCCTCACTTTGAACCTGTGGGGCCTGATTGGCAGAACAGGCAGGTCTGGTGCTCAGTGCAGGGCTGTGTGGATGCAGGTGAGGATCTGCTCAGAAACTGCTCTGGAATGGGCAGATTGCTGGGCTCAGGGCCTTCTTTCATGGTTCATAGACCTGAGCAATGGGCTGGGCCTGGGATACAGGTACAAGTCAGTGAGTGCCTAGGCCAAG